TCTCTATGAGTTCAAGGCAGCCTGGCCTACAAGGAGAGTTCCAGGCAGCCAGGGCTATACAGAGAAACCCTGTCAAAAAAAGAAGGAGGAGGAGGAGAAGAAAGAGAAAATGAAAAGAAACAAGTTAAAATAGGGCAAGACTTTGAAGCCAATACAAATAGAAGGTCTAATATTCAAATCTTTGTGTAGTTCAGGAAATGCTGAATGGTCCATTCCAGGGTGATGCTCACACATGATTATATCAATTCCTATGAAAGGTACAAAAGCTATAGCAAATGCAACTTGCAATCCTCATGGACTCTGAGATGTAGGAGAAGCTGGGAGATAGACCAGAGAGGCTCAGAGACATAAGTGACTCTTCCAAGGTCATATAGCACTTATGAGCAGACTTGGACATCAGTTCCTCCCACCTCCACTTTTATCCAGTATAGTGATGAAAGGGCCATCTGCACATGAGTGCCATCTGTATCACAAGGAGAATGATGGGCTTTACCTATGTCTTTCCCATGGCACTAATTATGCAAAGTGCAAACAGCAGGAACTAAATAAATGATGAGACACTGGAGCACAAAGCCAAGGGCCTGAAGTTATGGAAAAAGGTGAAGAGGAAGAAAAAGCTTCTTGCAGAGACAAAGATAAAAAGAGAGAAGAGGGAAGATTGTATTTGCAGGTATTTCAGAACCATGTTACCCAAAGTCGTGAGAATTGGCTTTGAAATTTTGTTCAAAAATTAAAATTTGGGTTTCACTAAACATATTTTAAATCAAAGTTTGACTTTTTAAAGAAAAGGCTCAATTAAAACTCTAGGGTCTCAGATGGACACAGGACACTGGAAGGCATGTTGCAGTTTGTCCACAAGTGGCTACATCTGCTGAGACTGGAGTGGGTAGACACTGAGGACTGAGGTCCTTCAGAGCAGTTTTTCTGGGAGTGAGAATACTATTAAAGAGTCACTGGCCCCAAATGATATCACATGACTTTTGTGAGGCAAGCCATGTAGGCATCTGAGCCCCAAATTTTGGAGAAGCTAACACTGAACTACTTGATCCTCATCCTCACTGATGTTTCTGTCCCAGTGAAGCCACCTCTACTGCTTTGGAAGGTGTGCCCCCATCATTCTCCTACTGAGTCAGGCTTCCCAAACCTCCCAGTAAATGAAAATAGGTGAAACCTATATATAGCTAGCAGAAAATGTGGGGTGGAATATTACTGGCAACATGCAGCCTTGGGTAATTTATGCTAAATAGCTCCTCCAGTTCCCCTTAATCATAGCTGTGAACCTAATTGGATTTTTTTTTTTAAAATTGGAGACTTGAAAATCAGTTTTCAAAGGACTTCAGATGCCGACATCTTTGACACTCTCCTGCTTACTCACAGAGGACCGGTCCACCTTAACAAAAAATGTCTAAGAGGGCTGATTTGCTACCATCCAAATCAGACTGTCAAGTGTGTATACCATGTGCCAGACCAATTAGCACCAGGCAGCCCTGGAAAAAGCAGGAAAAATTCCAGGTCACAAAGAGCGATTTAGTTCTTACTTGCCAACTACATTTTCATATTTCAGGGGCCAATGCAATAGGCTGGGTGCCTGATTTAATGCCGAGCTCTTGAATTTACACAGAACCCCGAGGGATTATGAAACCCTTATAGAAATTAATTGCAAATAATGTGCAATTACCAAATATATCACCCCTAAATGAGGTTTTCCTCTTTTGAGGGGGAGGTATAATGCAAATGGCTTGGAGGCACAAAGCGGGCATTAAATTGCTTGGGAAGTCTCTTGTGGAGACTTCCTCTTAACACTGGGCCTCCCCCACACCTCCCCAGTGCCCAGTGGATCTCAGAGGAAGACAGTGGCAGATGGGCGAGTAGCTAAAATACAGAGAACCCTGCTGGAGGGGCTACAGTGTGCCAGGAGAGGCCAAGGAAACCAAATCGGGCCATGATTCCATTCCGAGAAAACAGAAACAGGCCTGGGAGGGGAAGTATCCTCAATTTATGTGGAAAAGAGATGGTTTCTAGTGGAAACCAAGCCCCAGGAAGAAACCAGCCATAGACATGGGCATGATATAACACACCCAGCTCCCAGGACACACACTAACATGTGTCTGCGGGGCCAAGAAGCCCTTTTGGAGGATTTCACCCCTTTGGCAGGTTGAATATCAATTTCTTCTCTATTGACCCAACATGCCCTCTTTACTACCGTTGTCAAATGAAGCTATTTTCCTCTCCTATATGAATTCTGCAGTACCTGAAATGAAGGAAGCCTGAATTTCAACACCAGGATAGATCCCAAGACAACAGCTGGAGTTTGCTCCTCCACAGGCACCTGTGGAATTTTGCAGGTCAGATGAGAACAGCTGCTGTTTCCCAGTGTTCACCATACAGAAGGATTAGGCTCTGCCAGGGGAGAACCCTCTTTGAGGTGCTTTTGTGGGCTTGAACTTAGAACTGCTATGGATGCTAATGACTTTTTGGCAGTTTTATGTGGTGAGCAAAGTGGCAGGCAAGGTTAAGGGCGACAGACACGTGGGGATTAAGGCACAGTGGGAGGCCTCCTCTCAAAAAGGGAAGAAAATGAGAATTTCCAATTGGCTGACACTTACCTCCTGTTCTCGCTGAAATATTACAACCCGACCCCCCTTGTCCCCTGTCGCTAGTAACTCTCCCGTGTGGTTGAATTCTACCGTAGAGATAATGTCAGCTGAAAAGAAAAAAGACAAAAGCAATTTAAGTAAGCGCACACTTACTTTGAAAGGGTAGATAATAGACACACTTTTCTGTGCATTTAAGGGCTTAGGGCTCCGGCTGTGCGGTGGAATTTACAGGGTTTTATGTTCTGCATTTTAAGTACCACTTGAAGCAGCAGTTGGGAAATTTCCTAGGTGCCCCCACTGCACTGTGGGCTGCTCCTGGATTACCTGAGGGGAACAGAGGGGCAAGGCAAGTGTATTCATACCCTTTGTTTTGTGGAAGAGAAAGTGATTTTTTTCCCTGATGGAAATGGTGGTTTTCTTTGCTAATTTTCATTGTCCACAGGCCCCCTAGTCCAGGCAAGACAGTCCCACAAAACAGGTGTTAGCGTGGCGGTCAGGGTTAGGCCTGAGCACTGACGGAAGCGGGCTGAGGATGTTGGTACTGATGCCAATTCCAGGAGAGAGCATAGAGGTCATTGGGACACCCCACTACTGCTGCAGTGTCACCATGGTCCTCCCCTCTTGCATAATCCCAGAGCATCCTCTGCAGGTCACATCCTTTTCCAGTACAGGGTACTAGAAAGGCAGTGTCACAAAGTCAGAGAAAGGTGCAGGCACCAGGAACTCAGAGCATCTATAGCTGCAGAAAGAATCCCAGCTTATATTCTGGTTACCCTGGTGGCCCAAGGACAGGTGAATTAC